GTGTGTGTGTGCGTGTGCGTGTGCGTGTGCGTGTGCGTGTGCGTGTGCGTGTGTGTGTGTGTGTGTGTGTGTGTGTGTGTGTGTGTGTGTGTTTGTTTGTGTATGTATGTGTGTGTGGACAAATGCGTGCATGTGTACGTGCGTGTGTGCATATGTGAGTGTGCTTGTCTGTTTGTTTGTTTTTGATTCCGTTTGAATATTAAAATGTAGTCAAATCTAACTGCCATCATCACCATCATCCAAGATTTATCATATTTTTGATAAAGTATAAGTTCTTGATGTTGGGCAAAGCCTTTTTCTAAGCAATGTCTTGTATAATTTTGGAGCCATCCTTCACTTGTGGTTCTAAGTGACTGTAAAACAAAGAATATGATTATTTAAGGATACACAATTTGGATTCATCCTTCAATCCAGGCTCTTAAGTGACTGAAAAAGAAGGAATATCATTATTTAAGGATACATGTGTGACGTGCAATCACACATATGTATACACCTTAATTGTAATACCAGGCACACGGTACTTTCCTGTGTGTATAGATATGAGGGTTGATATTAAGATATATGTATCACTTATATTTACAGTACATGCTTAAAAGTACATAGAATTAGAATCTCTGTGAGTTACTGGTTCTGTTTTATAGTAAATATAGAATTTAGACATTTGAATACTGTTTTTGAAGTATTATCCAAGATTCGTGTTATATTTTTCTTATTTTTCTTTTTTTTAGGTAGCAGTGAGTAGTGGCCAAGAACCAGCGACAGAATGTTCACCCTTTTTTATGGACTGTATAAATACCTCTTCAAGAAAGACGAGTTCTTCGTCCTAATTCTTGGACTAGATAATGCTGGCAAGACGGTGAGTGTGAGAAATTAGAAACATAATTTCTTTGAATAATATTGTTCTTGATATTAATGATTCTTTAAATTCGTGATAGAATATTTAATCATTCAGAAGCCCTTGAAGACTTCACTCATTTATTTGTAATAGAAATTTTGAAAAATTTAGGCTACATGTATTAGAGGATCTGTATCTCTTAGGCTGTAAAGGTGTAAATACAAAGTATTCCTTTGTTTGAGAATGAGAATATTCCTTACATTCTTTCCTATAATTGCCACATCTCACTTAAATCCATGGTATCCCCATAACAGTGTAGATAAAGTCATGGTTTTGCATTACAGACGTACTTGGAGGCAGCAAAAACAAAATTCACAAGAGGGTACAAAGGGCTAAATCCAAGTAAGATAACAACGACAGTTGGCCAAAATGTTGGGGGAATAACATACGCAGGAATCAAACTCAGTTTCTGGGATCTCGGTGGACAGGAAGAGTTGCAGCCATTGTGGGAGAAGGTTTGTCAATTTGTATTACATTGTAGGTGAAGCTTTGCCTATCATTTTATATCATATAGTTTGGAGGAAGTGTGGATATTTTGTGAAATTAGCATATTAGAGATTTTTTTTTATTACTGCTTTTTAACTTTATATGCAAGTTGTCATATGAGAATTTACTTTGTTGTATATAATTGCTTTTATGTAGGAGTAATATCTGCAAATTTGTTACAGTGAATGAATATGTGTTTTATTCAGATGAGTCATATATTGGTTTCATATTACCGAATTAGAATCTTTCTTTTGTGCACATTGTACATTCTTCTCTGGTCTTGCAGTGTTCATATTGACATGAGATTCAGAAGAATAACTGCATTTGTGTTATGCCAATGAAACAAAGTTTTCATTGTTCCAAAGAAACAACAATATGATTGGAATATTTGAGTTGAATACAACAGAACTATTTTAAGCATTATTACATATCATTACATAAATGGGTCATCCAAATTGTATTTAAAACCATCAGGTGCAAAAAATATTAAGATGTCGAAGAGAATAACCATGAAGAGAAAATGATAATTTTATCAGAGATTTATTAGGTATGGATTTTCTACGTATATTCAGTCAATAATATTCCCTTTTTAATCTCAGTATTATGCAGAATGCCATGCTGTTATTTACATGGTGGATTCAGCTGATCGAGAGAGAATGGATGAATCCAAAGCAGCGTTTGGTGAGTCCTTTTGAAATTTTGGTCGTAGAAATAGTTGTGCGAGTTAAACTTCACTAGTAAAGCAATCTGAGAACCAGAAATCATTTGAATTTTCACTTATGATGCCTTTTGTAACATGTATACTGTCATTTTACATTTCACCGTATTACCATCTCTGGTATTATTTGCTAGTCTCTCAGTAGGTAAATTTAGGAGTAATATAACAATAATCTGAGACAGTACAATATAGCAGAGGTGTTCTCTGTAAGTTAGCTTTGGTAGATGTGAACCATGAATTGATTGTGGTGTCACAGCTGGGAAAACATTGTTCATGCACATTATTGATTGCCAGATTCAGTGTTTTAAACTGTCAAAGCTGCTCAAATCTTGATTTCCAAATGAGTGTGGCTGTATTGGCTATTCTTATATTTGCATTTGGAAGTGAAAGAAAATGGGCCGCTTCAACCCTTTGTACGCAGGTCCATTTACGGCTCACCGTAGTTTTTGTGAATTCTGTTGTCCACAGATGGCTCCACAAGGGCTCAGCCACTAAAGAGTCTTCGTAGCCCAGCGTGACCTCCTCTGATATTCCCACTCCTGATTTTTTTTTTTTTTTTTTTTTTCTTCTTTTTTTTTCTTTTTTTCTTTTTTCAATGGTAGTTATACCAATATCTTTATTATTGTTATTGGCATTATAATGTTCTGAAAATATTGACAGTGATTAAAAAAGGATCTTTCCAAAAATCAAGGGGTGAGGTGAGATAGGTAGGACTGGTAAGCGGGTCTTTGGTGACTAAGTACTTATAGACACAGTTAATGAATTAAAATTACAGTCAGCATGTCATTTGCTATTCCAGCTGAAAGGGCAAAGGAATGAAAATAAAAAAGGTTTAGGATTAATTTTCATATTTGTTTAGTGCTCGTATATCACAACATCAATCCGTTATATTTACTTATTCATTGTGTAATGTATCATCATCAAAACACTTAGATAAAGTTTATCTTGCTTTCATATTTGATTCTTAATTTGCATATGTCATAAGTCATGTTGCAAATTTTGAAATTCCAAAGATATATTTCATATCTCACATATTAAAAGGGACATTATAGGAGAAATGATTTGTGCAATAATATTCCAGTCCTTAAAGAAATATTGGTAATTCCAAGATATGCAATTAAAACCCCCAAATTATTATATACCAGTGATAACCTACATTAGGCACAGATTACAGTGTTAATGGTGCTTTTATGTGGAACCTAATGAGAATATAAGTTTATCTGAAAACAGTATCAAGCTTACATTGAAAAGTTACCAAATAAACATACTAGGGTATCAGTGCATTTAAGATTATATTTTGAATAAAAATTTGTGTATATAATTTTTGTAATATTACCATTTGACATGTGCTCTATATGACAAATATCAGTACATATGCATAAACATACAAAGTAACCAGAAAAGTAAAGGTAGGAATAATGATGATAATGATAGACTATCCACATAATATGGTTTGGTAGAAGTTGTGGCATTGAGGGTATAATGACTTTCAGCATTACCACTTCCCGCTGAGAACTAAATCTGTTATTATTTCTTGAGGTTATTAGAAAGTCAGTACTACGGACATCTTGGTCATTTAGATTATATTATTATAATTTTTGTAAGACTTGAAAATTGTGAATCTTCACCTTGAAAACTGAAAGATCTAGTATATATGTATTTAAGACCGCCTTTATTATATTTTTCAGTTCTTATAAGTTAGAAGGATGGGAGAAGAAACCATAAGGAAAAAAGTAGTATGGAGCAAGTTATTAGTTAGTTTTAAGGAATTTTCAGGGTAAAGTCTCCCAGCTGAAAGACTTATTAAATTTAGTTTTAAGGAATATCTAGGTAAAGTCTCCAGCTGAAAGACTTATTAAATTTAGTTTTAAGGAATTTTTAGGGTAAAGTCTCCAGCTGAAAGACTTATTAAATTTAGTTTTAAGGAATTTTCAGGGTAAAGTCTCCCAGCTGAAAGACTTATTAAATTTATTTTTCATTCTAGATAAGATGATCTCGAGTGAAAACATGACAGGTGTCCCCCTGCTCGTCCTGGCCAACAAACAAGACATTCCGGAGTGCATGGGAGTACGAGAAGTAAAGCCAATCTTCAATCAGTCTGCTGACCTTATTGGTCGCAGAGACTGTATGGTAATGCCCGTGTCTGCCTTAACAGGGTGAGTGGCTTGGGGAAAATGGGGCTGAGAAATCTTAGTTGTTTAAAGATGACCTTTGGTTATGTGCAAAGAGGTATGATCTCTTCACCTCTCAACATTGCCAATTGTGACTGCTAGTTTGACTCTTGAAACCATTCCATGATTTTTTTGGCATTTGTTTTATATACAATAGTCCAAACTTGTGGTTTACACACTGGCCACACAGTAATTAATATAGAAGTGGAGGGGACTATACTATATTTGGTGTTCTTGCTATTTCTGGTATATTGATCAAATATATTGAATGACTAGTTATGAGGCAGTTTCTTTACCAGGTGCATCCTGAACATCCTCCTCATTGCATATATCTAGGGGATTAGAAAGACTCATTGAGCTTTAGTGAGTCACAGAACATTTCAATTATATGATAAGTTGAGAGGAAAGCATATGCACAGGGTTAAGATTGGAAGGAATAGGGAAAGATGATAAAGATTATACTCCTGAACATTATAACTGTATGTAATTAAGAGTTATATCTGTTATTACTTTGAAGAAAACTCTCTTGTTTTAAGGTTGAATAGATACTGTTATGGGTTTACGAGAGGACAAGAGTTTTTTCATCATTTGGGTCTTATTAATGGATCTTAATCATTAATCATTTCCATTTGAATTCCCTCCCAAAACCTAGCTCGTTGTCATTGTGGGAGGTCTTAGGAGATGGGGACTGAGACCCAATGTAGAGGATTACCCCTACCTTGGGCCTCAGCCCTTGCCTCAACTAATTTTGCTTGGTCCTTTCTTCTCTTCTTTCCTCTTCCGTAACTTCTTTATTCCCTTCTTCTATCCCACTCCTAAGGTGTGAGAGCTGTGCTGAAAGGATGAAAGGCTGGCTTTGTGTCAGTCACGAACAGCCTCCGGGAGCCATGGGCACGGTATTCCCTTGGTTAATTACTTAGCCCTTACCCCTTATGGGGACCCTAAGGGGTAGACCATTTCTTTTCCCCAGTTTATTCAGGCTTACCATGGCCAGTAATGAAGATTCCTTACCCTTAATAGAGGCATTAAGGCTTGCCCCTTCATCAAATAGCCTATCTGAATTTGATTTTGATAGTTTTCCAACCCCTGCACCTCCTTTGACCATGGCTGTGATCACTGATGCTAATACCCACTCTTCGACTCTTACAAACAACTCTAACCATTATAAAAAACCCACCCAGGTTATTACTCAACCCCTAGAAAATACCTTTTCCTCATCCCCAATATTCTCCTCTTCATCCCTACTACACAACCTCTTCAATGTCAACCCCCTCTTCCCTTATTACTACTCTTCATCCTTATTGTCCTCCCCCCTTCAGAACTACTCCACTTCCACACCACCCATCTTCCTCTCGCCCTCGTCTTCTACTACTCTACCTCTGCAAACCTTCTGGGTACTCTATTTGGCCCAGCCAAGTGGAATCGATTCTTTGTGATTCCCCCACAGCCCCCTATTCTGAGAATACCCTTCTCTTTCAGCAGTGCCTCAGAAACAAGTAGGAAGGTTACCTTTCGCAGTGCTCTGATCGTTCATGCCTTGTCAGTTACATCTGAAGCCAAGCTCGTGCACTATCTACCCTAACTGACCTTATTGGCAAACCCATTCCTGCCGAACCTCACCCAACTCTTAATACTTGTACTGGAACTGTTTCTATTCCCCCAAATGCTTGTCCCATGTATAACAAAGACTGGTCAGACTGTGAAATGACCTACTTTCCTGCCTTGATGAATATGATGCAGTGGCAGTTGAGTGTTACACTCTTCCTCCTAGAGGCCAACATAAATCTCACATCAATATTGCCAAGATTAGCTTCCATAGACAAGATCTCCCCCATGAGGTTTATATTGGTGGATTGTCTTGTCATGTCCGACAATATCAACCCCTTCCTCGTCAATGTCAAAAATGTTGGCGTTTTGGCCACCCAGCCAAATATTGTTGCTCCATGGCCTGCTGCCCTCTATGTGCCCAACCTGGTCATGACCGTTCAAATTGCCCTGGTCAGTCACGTACATGTGCCAAGTTTAAATGTGAGGTGGCAGTCTTCAGATTTAAACTAGGCCTCACTCTACGTGAGGCCAGACAGGAAGCACGGCAACGAGGTTTTTCTCTCTCAACTTATTCCAAAACAGTCCTACGCTCTGCTCCCCCACCATCTACACAAGATATTTCTGTATCTCCCCAGGTATCTTTTCCCTATGCCCAAAACCTACGTCCTATGTCTACTCACCCTATCCACCAGTCAAATCCGTTTTCCATCCTTATTCCAGATACTCCAATCTTTACCACTTCCCGGATACCTACCCCTCCTCTTCACTTTAGTTGTCGGACCAGACAACCTAAACGTTCCACTCCACACTTTCTGACTACATTCTCTCCTACACCTTCCTCTTCATCTGTTCCTCAGATATCCATCTCCTCTTCTCCTCCTTATAAGAGAACCTTTGTTTCTCAGTCCTCTACACCAAATTCCCCTCCAGAAACCCTTGAAGACATCCAAAACTTCCTAAAGATGACCCAAGGGAACACTCTGCTCCCTCATCCATCCCCCAATCCCTCTGTTCCTACTCCTGCTACATTTAAAGTATTTGCAGATAGCCATCCTCCTCCTTCCCAAGTTCCCTCCAATCTCAACATACCCCACCCTCTCTATCACTTCCACTTGAATACTCTCACAAATCCCCTTTATCATAACAGTGCCTTTCTCCAGACCCCTCCTCTCCAGACATTTTTCCTGATGCTTCACCACCTTCCCCAGTCTCCCTTTCTCAACCCCTCCTACTTCTCCAACAGCCACCTCTGTTTTCCTTAATCAGTGTCCCTACTCCTTCCCCAGTCACAGATACACTGTAATTCACTCAGTTTCTCTACCCCCTTATATTCCCCCAACCCCTTCCCAAAATAACTCATCCTCTCAACCAATCACACCCCCCCCCCCCCCCAAATCCATCCTTCCCTACTATTCCTCCCACTCCCTCCTGGATAAACACATGAATCTCTTTTATCACAATACCCTTCCCCAGACCCCACCGTACCTATTGAACCCCCAGACACTACTCCTTCACCTACTTTTGATCCTTTTTCTCAATCCTCAGATACCTAATCCCCTACTACTAAGACAACCTTATCTACCTTTGTCACCTATTATCCCTATTCCTTCCACAGTCACAGATACAATGCAATTAATTTAATTGCTCTACTTTCTTAACCTTTCCCACCTATTAATCACTACTTCATTTACTTCCCTCCTTTCTCTTTTCATTACCATACTCTCCTACAACACCCTCTAATTTGATATCTAACATCCTCCCCTCTTCCCAGATTCTTCTCTTACTCTTCAACAGCTATCTCTATTCTTCCTTGAACATTTTTCCTATACCTTCCCCAGTGACAGATACACTATAATTCACTAAATTGCCCTACCCTCCCCTTTATACTAATTTCTGATCTAATTCATTTGCTCCCCTATTCCCCCTTTTCACTACCCTACTATCCTATAACGTTCTTAAACCTTTGACATTTGACACATTTTATTGTAATCTTTAACTCTCGTTTGCCCTTTCCGACGCAATACTTTACCATAGTGCTACATGACCTTTGATGTCTAGCACATTTATTTTTCAAACATTAATTAATTCATTCCATTTAAATTGCGAGAAAGGGCTAAATAGGAATAGATACTACAATTAACTTTTACTGAATCAATGATTCATTTACTAAAATCTGTTATGTCCTTAATGATTATGGATTAAGAATGTAAGAGCCATAGAGTACAATGATCATAGCTCATTCCAATGACTGGCACAAAAAATGGTGGATTCAGGACAGTAATGAACAAACAGATTGTAAGATTGGAACCATATTTGCCATCAAAGACCATTGTGATACATGTCACTTTTTGATTTTGGTTACAATACACCGAATTAATAGAAGAACTATGACCCTATTTCATCTTACCTTGTGTGCTAGACCCCATGGAGTGAATGAAAGTCATGCAGAATGTATTTTTTCTCCAAATTAAAAGTTATTGAAATTGTACATGTATTTGCAGTGATATGGTAACTTCTCAGTAAAGGTAGGCATTTCTGATTTATCATGATATCAGAGCTAATTCCAACAGGGGAGCAGCAAGATAGAAAACTCATTCTTTGTATATCTTTCTTTCTTCAAGATATCTGTAGACAGCCACAGCACTGTAATTCATAATAATGCATATGATGTATGTCCTTTAAATATCAAACCATACCTTTTGCAAATCTTCCAGAGCTGGAGTGGATGAAGGGATCGACTGGCTGGTTGAGTGTATCAAACGAAACAGTGACGTCAGACCGCCTCCCAATCATGACGACACGTGATGGCACAACTTGATGAGATGTGTGTTTGTCTCACGCATGGCTTGGACTGTTTTGTATGTTCTGAAGTTCACGAATACATTTTCAATATTTTAGAAGTGCTTACCGGTAGGACTGTTAAGCAAAATGAGCTTATTTTTCAGAAATTAGAACTCTTGACATGAGGATTAACATGCAGAGAATTTGTAATTTATTAACAGAAACGAGGAGTGAGGATTTGTTGACCCATGTTAAATACCTTATTTTTTAGATATTAGTGTAGAAATTTGATGAATCGTGCATTTTCTTTTCCATCTTGTTATTTTTTATTTTATTTTTATTTTTTTCCTTTCTTTCTTTTTTTTTCTTTTTTTTTCTCTTTTGTAATACATATGACAAAAATCACATGGGAAAGTACCTGCTTAATTTTTTTTTATTATTATTATTATCATTTATAAAGTAGGATTAATCTTGGTCTGAGACTATGATGTCTTGTGATTGTCAAGTACAATATGGTACAAGCTCTTCTTGTATATATACAGTGTAAAAAATTTAATAGAACACCCATAATGTAGTTTATTACTATTGTTACTTGTGATGTTTTTGGGGTGCAGTTATAATAGGGAAGTTAGTCATGTAAATCTCATAATGAGTCATGAAAACTGCAATACTTGGTTAGGTAACTATATTTATTTATATAATGAAAGTATATAGGAAAGAATATTAATGTTATTTTTATGGTTGTACATTCCTTTTATCAAGAAACTTGTGGATTTAGGATATGTATTTCTTTCATAAGTGATATGCCTCTGAACTTCAATGATATCCTATATTAGTTAAATGATTAGCCATACTTCTATTTCCATACTTAAAAGTAAACTAAAGGGAATACGACTTTGTGATACAAACACTGGAGCTGTTCTATTCTTTCTGCAATTAATTAGACATTATGTTCATGACAATATCTTTGTTTAAACTGAAATCTTTATTCCTTTCTTTGATGTTATTTTCATCTATCTCTTTCTCAAACTAAATTTAAATCAGTCTCATATTGTGTCTTATCTTTTTCAAACAGATGATTCAGAGGCATGTGAATATAAGAGATATGGGGATTTCATTGCTTAAACAGTATGACATCTGTATCTGTATTAAACCATGCAACAGATATTCAACAGAGTGTACACTGATTACATATTGTTTAGGAACTGTATTCATTATATACAATAAAGATCCTGTTGTTTGGCTTCTGGGTGATTTTAAATCCTACATTTGTTGATACTATTAACCAGTAACTTTATAGCTGAGGTGCAGTTTTACCTTTATTAAAACCATGGTAGCCTACAGTAGAGGAGGCAGATGTCATAGGAAGAGGTGAATGCAGGAGAAAATTTGGTAGAAGTTGGGATGGAATGTTTAGATATCTTGATGCAACAAGTAAAGTGAGAAGGAAGGGTAGGCACCAAGAAAGTGGTTGAGACTGGAGTATCTGGATTTAGAGTGGCAAAAGAATTTGATTTAGAGAGAGTTAGTAGTTGTAGGATTGTAAGGGGTAGGGGATAAAATAACTGGGGGGATACTGAGACATCTTGGGAAGAAGGAAGAGGGGTGGAGTCAGAGTAGATAATGCATGAGTTTGAGGTTCGGATGTAACTATTACAGGTGAGAGGGATCTGTGAATGGCTGTGGAAGAAAACTACCTACTTGTTTTTGGAGACATTTCTGGAAGACGAAGGCATTGTCAGAGTAAGGGGATATAGGGGGAATCAATGCCCGTAATAAGGATATAAAATCATTTATGGTGAAACAGTCTACCCCTGAAGGTTCCTCTGAGGGGTAATGGCTAGAAGATTAAGGAATACTATGCCTTTTGACTTCCTGTGGCTGTTCAGCCTTTTTATCCCTTCAGCATGGCTTTTACACCTTAGGAAGTGAAAACAAAGGGTTAGAGAAAAGAAGGAAAAGGAAAGGGGGAGAAAATAAAAATCATGCACAACTGGACGAGTCAAAGGGCCATACTATAAAAAACAAGAGTCAGGCAATGCCCGACTCTTCGCCAGGCGATCACGTAATCGGTACCATAAGACCCTGCTTTCCCTTTGCCTGGCGTTGCCAGCCGCTAAAGGGTCAAATTTTCATACCACAAAACACCATTTTCAGCTTCGCCAGGCATTCGCAGTAGAAAAAATATTGAAACATCGCCCGACTATGAAAGCCAGATATACCCCTCTCTTTCATCGCCACTTTTGTAAGTATCTCTCAATAAAACTAATCTAAATGCATTATAATTAACTTGAAAACCCAAAAAATCAACGTATGTATTTTTTGGATCGCAAATAATCATAAGGTCATAAATGATCTTATAAATACTCCATATTTCAAACTATTTACCCATGCATTGCTGATTTCTGGACGGGTGAGGTGTCAAGAACGTCTCTCCTCGCCAAAATAAACATACATTAGGTCAAATAAATGTTGACAGCTATAGTTTCCATATCAGGAAAGATTTTTGAAAGTGACGAAACATGTTTTCCCCATTTAGAATGAATAACTCTGTTCCTTAGTTAAAAATAAGACCTGTGCCACCAAACTCGCATAAGCGATTCCAGGCCTCCGCGCTTCCAGCAAAGGCCAACAAACTTCTCAATGTCTGTTAGGCATCACAGTGCTTAGACTAATTATAAATTTCATTATATATCACCAGAGAGATTGGAAAGCTCTGTCTCGCAACTCATGTATTTAAGATTTGCAATCATTTGACAACACATGACTGTCGATGATGGTTTTAAGGGATCAATCGAATTCACAAAGATTTGTTATTTACTTGATTTGAACAAAATTTATCGTCCTAATTAGTATATCTATAATGCATACCCAATAATTTTGCAAAAATGCATTTCATTCTCCTTCCAGGTAACCTAGGCTATCTATAATTATATGTCGGATTCCAGTAATTTGGAAATGATTACACTAGCTTTGTGAATTACAAAAGATTTAAAGATTATACTTTGTTTCCGAGATGGCAGCAGATGTAGATGAATTGGCCTGTCTGGAAGTTCTTGAATCTTCTTGATGCAGCCTAACACAATACACCAAGAACATGTATCACTGACTAGTTATATGTCTACATATATGTACATATAAATACATATATATAAGTAATGAGTAAATATATTATATACACACATGAATATATTTACCTACACCCCACCCACACACACACACTTACATACATGATAACACGCACAATACACAAACACACACACACACACACACACAAAATCACACACACACACACACACACACACACAACACACACACACACACACACACACACAACACACACACACACACACACACACACACACACACACACACACACACACACACACACACACACACACACACACACACACACACACACACACACACACACAACACACACACACACACACACACAAACATTTGTATGTGCTGGGTGATTTACACATATGTATCTCTATCTCACTTTATCATTGGCTAATCCTTTTGGACAATAATATGATTGGTATTATTTTGATACAAAAGTTCATAACTACTTTATACAGCTTTGCTTGTGAATAACAATATGTAGCGTGTCTCTTCAGGATCACTAGTACACCCTATGTGCAGCTCTTGATAAGTGGCAGCTGACAATTTCTGACCATTTTGACTAATATGTCTAAAGAATATGGATGACCCTACTATAGCCATTTCAAAGATGTGATAATATGTTGTAATCCTATATAGAACTTGAAGGTAAATATGTCATATTAATTATGTTTTATATCAAATAAGATTTCAAATATTCATCCAAACACTGGAACTGTAACTAACACCTAGTGTAGCTAGACTGAGACATTATATCACAATGCATAAAAAAAACAGTCGGGAGCTTTTCTGTTTCAGTTTACTTTAATTTATTTATTTCCAAATCCATTTTATTGTCTGTCATATTGTTCAGCTGCACAAGATATTTTAATTTGCGATTTTTTGCCTTTAGATAGTAGGTTCCTTCAGTATCTTGTAGCCAGGCTTTCTTTATTTCTGCTTATGGTGATGTGTGTCAAGGTAAACAAATTCAAATTTCCCACGCCGTTCAAAGTTAGCAATTTTCTATCTAGCGGAAACACGGGCGAAGGATCGCCTGACAAAAGTGGTGTTTCGTGGTACGCCGGAAAGGGCAGGTGATTGCCTGCTCTTTCCCGAAACTTTTATGGTACGGCCCTTAGGCCCAAGGTTGGGCCTCAGACCCCATATCCTATACCTCTCCAAAATGGGCATGGGATTGGAAGGAAATATCTGGAAGCAACATGCTTAATTAAACAATTTATAGCCAGAATAAACGATTTTATTGACATTTGTATTATGTACAAAGTTAATATAAACAGAGGATGATGGGACTGTATGTAGCTATTGCAGAATCTGAAAAGTATTAAATTCACAAAATTCTTTTACCAAATTATTAACAATCTTTGCACTAATGCAAAGACTGTGTACTATTATTTAAAATGTTCTATACTTTTGCTTTATAAAAAAAACAAAAATCAAAATTTCTATGAAAATAACTTACACCATAATGACTGGAATTCCATATCATGGAAAGAACACAAATGAGTATAAATTTTACTTCGCTGGTAATAAGCTACCTATCTTCTGGAATGATGGGCAGGGTCAGATTTGTAGAAAAATGGATATAAGTTCTGAGATATGTACATCAGCTAACCAGAAATCCTACAGGAGTGAACTTCAAACTGGTCTAAGATGCATTTTCTTCCAAAATTTAAATAATAAGTGATCACTGCGGAGAGTGATTGGTCCTTCCAGCCACTCAACATCTGACGACAAGAATTTTAGCTGTAGCTGGTTGACAAATCAGATAGATACAACTCTATAACTGAAATGGAGCCTAGCAAGTCTATTTGAATAGAGGTATATTTCCATCATGACAATCACAATGCTAAGTCATTCTTGATGAAACAAATTATCATCTAAAATTATTTTTTGAAGCTGTATTATTATAGTTTGACATATCCCACTGCTGTTAGTTAAAATACATACACTGCCTAACCAGATACACAAGTAGGAGGAACACTAGCATATTTCCTTGTATAAAATGTGAAGACATGTAGACCAATTATTAAAATTACAAAATTCTACATTTCATTCATAAGGACAGGAAGGTAAAACTCTCTGGATAGCACATTTTCTGTGAATTAATTTGTTTTACTTCAGGTTTACTGATAGGCCTCTACAGCAGAGATGTCATAACTGGTGGAAAAGAGTAGCCTACAATGAGGAAAATAAGAAAAAGTAATTGGAAAATCCCTCATAACTTATCACGTGGTCAAGTGAACAAACAAGACAACTCTATCAGAAAATTATATTTTTTTGGCAATCAAAAAATGCAATTTCAATTATTAATTGGTGAACAAGACACTTTTATCGAAATATTCTCAGCTAGGTGGTATACTGATTTTTCCAAATCTTTGAATGATCTGCAGTTTTGCCATATTATTAACCCTTACTGCACTGAAAGTGTGTTGGTGCATGCAGGCACATCTGTTTTATATCAATGGATCAGTAGCAAGATGACAATTTTGTTTTTAACCCAATGCTGCTGGGATAATGTGATGTTCACTGTAGTATTGTTTTGTGAAATGCATCTACACATATATGGCTCCACAAGTGCTCACCACCAAATTGTTATGAAAGAAAGTTGTATGTTAACCAACAACTTTTGCCCCCAACTGACATTTTTGTAATAATAGCAATCTTTATTTACTCACTATTTTTAGATACATCACCAGCTAAGTAGAAATAGTTAATGGATGACAAGCCATAATGTGGACAGATTACTTGATATGAAACTCTTGTATGTATTACTATCATAAATGAGGTCTGTATAATCTGTAGTTGATAGTAAGTAAATAGTTTAGGACAAACAATAAAGAATATACGATACCTCAAGGCATACAAGAGTGACCAGTACAGTCAGTATGGGTGAGGTACTTTCTTTACATAGAGGCTTGAGGTCACGCATGAAAGGGTTAAACCTTGAGATTAAACCATGTTTTTATCTTAACATAAATCTCAATTCCTTATTTGCTTCCATTGACATGGAAGACTTGGTTCTTATATGCTCAATGGAACAGAAGTGTGCCTCTAAGAAGGATCATGTTTGATGCCGTTGCTATAGATGCTTAATCTATAACATCGAAGGATACGAACCTCGTATATGTCTATGTTCATCAAAAAAAAAAAATACTAGTTTACTCTTTGGAGCAAGTTGCAAAATAATAACTTTCTTCTGAATGGTGCAAGAGTGGAGATTGGCAGTATGTGCAATGGAAGTGATAGCCAAACTCTACAAATAATTAAACATCACTTTTACAGGAATTTGATATTATTATTGCCATCTATACTTGATTTGTTACCCTCTGTTCAATTCTTCTATAAGGTCTGTTGTTCTTCTGCGTGCTACTGAAATATTCCAGCTTTAAACAAAAATACAAAAGCCACATTTAGAATATGATATAAAATAGAGGATATTATGCAGTATTAATAATAAAACCCTGTAAGTACATGACCTCTAAGTGAATTCCACTTTATATTAATTATTCGCCATTCATGATTATGAAAATAATAGCTTTACCCGTTAAAGTGAACATATTGGTTGAATTTTAATGGTACTTCCTCTTTTTCTTGACCACGCAGACCTTGAACCAAGAAATTCAGTGGACAAAGTAACTGCAAGTAATAAACATGCAAAAATTCAGTTGTACATTTTCAACAGTAAAAAGAAAAATAGAATACATACTTATTACCCACCATCTTTACAGTAATTTTTCTTCTATCCTTCCCTCAACTTTGTCCTTCACAGTCAAGCTAAGGTAAAATTTAAAAAGACGTGCTTTCCTTGCCTTATGCCTACTGCAGAGCATCATTCTTAGGCTCAAATACAATGCAATGCTAAGTGGCTAAAGTTATATAGAAAAAAGAAAAGAAAAAATCAAGGCATGAGAATACAGTATGTATCTGGTAATAAGAATAACCATGAATGGCATTACAAATAGCAATTGTAATATCAAATACCCAAAATCTTGTCCTCAGTTTTGGGAAGCCTTTTCCACCATAGTAATAGCAAGTGCAGTTAGCAGTATTAGATATTTGCAACAGTAATAGATGACAGTAGCAGAACCTGCAGCATAAGTACTAAAAGGAATATTAGTAGTATTATCAGAAATACTAGTAGTACTATTACCACTTCTGACCTACTACTGCTATTCTAATATTATTGCTTTACTACTACAACTAATACTACAACTGCTACTACTATTACTATATATAACTAAAAAAAAACTTTATCATCATTTAAATAGTGCAATAAATAATAATTTTAATAAACAAATAAACAAAAATAAAAGCCAGTTTTGCTGTAAAAATAATCTATTCATTTTTATCACTAAGATAGAGTTATTATGTATTTAGTGTAATCAAATAAAAGCAAAGCTATTCTGTTCTCAATAATGTCTGTTATAGAGGGTTAACAGAGAAACTGCACATTGCTTCAGATTATAAAACAGCAATTTATTCAGTCTCAAAATTTCCTTCTGTAACTACAATATTTCATTTTTTCTTTGTTCCCAGGATCCATATTCTAAAATAATAATTGTAGATTTATGAATACATGTGCTACAGACAGTCATCGAGCTCTCACTGTCCATTGGTAGAGACAGTCTCACTTGCACACCAGTGCACAAGACATACAATATAGTTGTGTATATATACTGTATTCCATACACATACTTGGTAATGGTTTCCCTAGTCAACTTATCTACAAGTACAGTAACATGGTAATCAATCTTTGTACATATTTCATTTCAGAGTAACAAAAGCAAATTTATAAGATTCTGATATGTACAAAATTTTCAGGGGATGGGATGGGTGGGGAGAGGAGGGAAAGAAGTAGAAAATAATTGTGATAATTGTAATAAATAAAAACCAAAACTAGAGTTGCACATATAAAATATATTTAGCTTTACTTACTTTTTCTAATTATTAATATAGGATTTAAATAATGAGAAACATGCTTCCACATCTATTATCAGTACTGTCAACACTTATGTAATACAGAGATACTCTGTATTCTTTCTTTCGTCTAAGCGTTTCATTATTATAAAATCAAGATGTAATCTCTCGCACAGCTTTAACAATTGTCGACCAATGCATAAATGTTACGTCATCAGCAATCGCTGTGTTCTGAAATTATCAATAACTGTACATTTGACATTTGTCAGCTCAGTATATCATCAGCCTGCTGATATAACAGCATAAATCATTCCATACATATTCATATAATTAGAACTAAAAAATGTTTATTTCTGAAACTGCTAGAGATATTAAGGTATTAGAGAAAGGCAATTACATTAGCAGGCTGACATGTTCTTTTACAATATTAAAAGGATACTACATTATACTATCAATAACCACAATAATAATAATGAGCATGATATCATAAAAAGAAAATATGGTAATAATATTCATAATGGGAGCAGTGATAGTAGTAATATCCACAATAATGGTAATAACCATGAACAAATAATATAAATACCAATACCAACACTATTTGTAATAAATAATAATTAAAACAATGATAAAAATATTCATGACTAATAAAAGCTCAAAATTTCCCGTACAATTTTGCGTTATCATAATGACTCCTAACCAGATCCACTTTGTGACGCCTTTAATCTTTTTTTTTTAACCAACTAATGGATTCAGTAACACCTCAAACCCCAACATACTACCCTCACAATGGACAACTCTAGGTGTCGAGTCATCAAAAAGTTCCCACAATGACTTCTGCCACGCATACAGATACCAAAAGGAGGGCGGCATAGGGGGGGAGGGATTTAGTATTCCCTTCATTTGAATAGCCACTCGAGCCGACCAAGAGAGAGAGAGAGAGAGGAAAAATCCTCCTCAACTCTCATGGTCGTCCGAGGCCGGTGTGAGTCAGGCCTGCACTTGAACTCTATAGTTGGAGTCGCGCTGAATGTCATTCTTGCCATTCTTGTTGCTGCGTGGTTTCTCGTAGTCAGGGGGTGGTGGTGGATAGTGGTCCACTTTCGGGGACTTGATGGCTGGGTGTACTATGAAAGAAAAAAAAATAATTATAATAATAAATCAATCATTAAAAAAAAAAAAAAAAAGTCAATATGTAAACTGATCTTTTTACATCTGAAGAGCCTGGGTACTTGAAGTATTTATGTGAGGCTTTCCCAGGGTAGAATAATTGGACTAATAATGAACTATTCTTGAATATGCACATTTTATCATATTGTTATTATGCTCAAACAAAATTCTTAGCATACTATCTAATTCACAAAAGACCCCCAAAGGCATAAAAATAAGTAAATCTACCCTAATTCCAACCTCATTAAAATCAACTTTTCAGTTAATAATCCATACTGTGAATATCAAATTGTTTGACCAACCACATAAGGTAACTAATCATAAAACAGTAAATGAAAAAAAGAAAGGTCACACAATGGATAAAAAATGAATAAATATAGCAATAAATACTAACATATACAATAATAATAATCAAAACATTGATAACAGCTCATTTCTCTTTACACCACTCACTTGTTCCTCTGTAGTGAACCAGCTGTTGGTAGACCTGCTTCATCCGCTCGATATTATTTTGGCTCTGCTTGATGTGATCCACCATTGGCATGGGGTAATCTCGGCTAATGATGCACTTCGCAGCTCTCTGAACCGACTCGGGCGCGGTCCAGGGTTCATGGATGTACTTGGTGGGGAAGTTCTTAAGCACGGGCAGGTAGGTTCTGAAAAGGATTGAAAGAGAAAATGTAGAAGGTCATCCCTTCTCAGCGTGTGACATGGAGCAAAGTGAGAAAAGAAAATAAGGAAAAAGAATAGAAAATGGAGAGGGAGGGGAATGCCCCACCCTCCAAAACACAAGTATAAATATATCAAGTCAGACAAGATAAAGATCAAATGATATAGAAGACAAAGAGGAATAAGATAAATATGGAGTTGAGATAAACACTAGGCAGAGAACAGAAATTGGAAAACTGACAGTGAGTGAAAGAGGTTGTTTCAGGGGGTTAAAATCATGAACTTCTATTCTCTTGACATTATCTCAAGGCTCCATTACATACCTTATATTCACATTAATAAAAAGTTAACAAATCCAGAATCTAATCCACACAAACTTACCGAATAAAGTCACCATTGGGATCTGCCTTCCTGCCATACCGAACAGGGCAATAACAGTGGAAGAACTGCTGGAAGAAGGATGAGCAGGACAACCACATCCATGAACCTGCATTGACTGACCAATCTGCATCCAGCAATAGTTCATCAAACACCTGAAAACATCAATGATTCTTGTCTATAGATTTTTTTTTTTTTTTTTTTTCTTTTTTCTAGAGGTATAGTAAAGGTCAATATTTCATGTGCCTCATTCAGTACAACTGGGAGAGAGAAGTAGAATAATAATAATAGCCAACTTACCTTCATACCCTCTTCCCATGACACCCACAAGTCTCCCCGTGTCAGGAAACACGCGACGGCATGCCTGGCTACATTGTGGATCCATCCCTCTGTCCGCAGCTGCGTCATGATGGCGTCTACCCATGGATAACCAGTCTGACCCTAAAATTATAATTAACACTTATGAGCTGAAACCTGAGACAAGGTCAAACTTCTTATCTTTGGTATTTTTACTTTCAAAAAAGAGGCTTAGTGTTGAGATGTGATAAAATTAGAGCAAAGAGAGATATAGTGCAACTATGAAGCATGCAGTATATGCATTCAAATAAAAAATTGCTGCCAAGGGGTGTAATACTACTTCTTATCTTTACATTTTTTGTACACTCAAAAAGGGTAGAAGTGAACGAATCATTACACATTATAAAGTGTAACAGTACCTTTGATATCATGATTCCTCTTGCATATCAAAAAATACTTACATTTGCCCATTTGGCAAGTGCTTCTGGATTCTTATCCCAAGGTATTTGTACACATATTGGGTTCCCTTCCATGTGGTCAAATTTAGGGTTGTTGGTCGCGGCAGTGTAGTAGAATTCCCGCCAAAGTAACTGGCCATGTAAGGATAGCGGTGGGGGAGATTTCTTTATCTGAAAGGTAAAACTGAAGGATTAGGGACACCTTATAAGTTCAAAAAAGAAAAAAATTATTAGAATCAAAACTCCCAGAAGTATGGAATTCCATATAATCGGAACTGTTGATCTACAAATGTAATACCCACAAATTTTTCTATACATTTATATGATCATACAATATGTATTAAGAAAATAAATAATTGTTTCCTTGGAAGCATACTGACAGAGATAAGAGGAAAGAACATCTGGGTCAGTAGACACAGAAGGACATTTCACTTCAACAAATTTAAAGACGGTTTTAATAACAGTCTCTGATCCCAAGATTGTAGTAGTTGTTTATCCCTCTATCTTTATATGTATATAATTATATATTATCAATTATTAAGACTGTCCTTAGCAATTTCATCTCTAACTTGCAATAACTTCAATAACTAAATTTACATTACTGTTGTTAGCATCTTGTAAAGTCAATTTAAAGAATCTTTACATGTGTGGAACAATTCCAGAGTTGTCTTTAACTTTAGCCAAGTCATGGACAAAATTGGACTGTTAGTGACATTTTTATGAAGTCATAGACAACACTACAATGTCTGAGACTTTTTTTTTCTGTAATAGACAAATCTTGGGGTCTATGATTTGTGAGTACCATCTATGACATTCCATTTC